GACAACAAAATAATTAACCCTTGAGTGATGCYATTTTTCAGAGGATCATTCATATCATTCAAAGGAATTTAGGTGTATACGAACTTATAGTAAATAGCCATCGAAAGTTAGTCTTAAAATTGGTGTTTTAATATTAATGAAATTTAAGAAGCTACAGTAGGAAGTTCCTCCTGGGAACACAAATCCCTAGAACAGACTCTTTTATTAAAGATGCGTCCAATTTTTGTAGATGGAATCTTATTTGGAATTTGTTTTCTAAGAGCTATTGGTTGCTTTGCGGTACTTGATCTTTTAATAATCGATACATCCGGAGGGACACTCTTCTTCTTCTTCTTCACATTCTTTCGAAAATACTGTTCAGTATAATATAAGAAATATTCAAATGAGAGCTATTGTTTTAAGGAAATAATTAACCCGAGACCGAGTTGCTTTCCAAACTTTAAATTTCCTGTGTTTAAAGTAATAAACACAAGTTATTGTTTCAAAACCGAGTCCGTCTTCCCAGGCTGCTCACATAGTGGAGCTGCTGGCAAAGTTTCAAAGCTTTATCTGTCCTCTCAAAGGTTATATGATCTTTAAAGCCAATATGGTAGCAAACAAGGGTTAGATATGCACTATATATGGAATTAATAAAACAATGAGAAACCATATAATATAAACATCCGGCCGTAGTGCAACACAAATATTTACATTGACAAATTTATATATATATATATTTTAAATTGAATTATGATGGATAAGAAATCATTTAAAAGCCACAAGCCTCATCCGAACACCCTCAGTGACACTCAWTGTGACCAAAATGCAAGCTACATTGGCACTGATCGCAGTACTCCTCGTGCTCCAAAACAGGAGTGTAAGTGAAACCATTAAAGACTATTTTATCTAACGAAAAAAGTAAAAATTAATAGCAAATTAATCTATATTTATAAGTCTTCGCCAAACCGAATATTTTAGAAATTGTCTCTAATCTCTTTGACGCTACTTTTAATCCAACTGGTTTTTCGGTGGAAGTCGTTACAAGTAAACCACTTTCCATTCTTGATGCTTGTACAAACGAGATCAATAATTCTGTACGGAGAGAAATTGCCG